GTAGCAGGAGACTTGGTGCTCTTGGGCTCTTGAGGAGCTTGAACGTTGAGACCTTGCGACTCAGTCTCTTCACCACGATATAGCTGGGATTTGTCGAAAGCTCCCGCATCGTCCTTTCAACCTGAGCTGATAATGGTTAGAGAGTATGATATAACACAGCAGGGCAGGTATAGGGTAAAATGCGCATGTATATATCTCTATATATATATATGTAAAAATATACTGTGTGTAGCATGGCATTGCATATCACTGTGGCCATTGCGGTCCCTGCTTTGGTCCCTGTACAATAACACCCTGGATTCACCAGCAGGCCCAGCAGGACCATCAGATGGTCGCCAGCAAACACACAACAAACAGACTGCTCTCCGGCTCAAACTGACAGGAAGCTCTGCACCAGCCTCGCTCAGCCCATGTGTTGGGACTCAGCAAGTGGGTCCGATCTGACGTCTCAATGCATGGACACAGGACGAAGAAGAACTCGCACTGCGCCACGTAGGCGGGGATGCTGTCGATGGCACTGAGTAGGTTGATCCTTGGAGCTGCCTCCAACTGTGGACATGAGAAGAAGTCGTACCAGACAAAGATGGGCGAACACGTGGATCGAAACTCCTTTGTTGACATTGGCTTCATATCAGGAAGATAGATCTCCGAGAAGATGTCAAGATGGATCTCGTCAATCTTCGTCATGATGTTCTTGAGCGCATCCTGCAATGAGGAGGCAGTGCCGAGCCAGCTGCGTGTCATCACAGAACCAAGCACAGGCCGACACAAACACTCCTGCAAGACCTTGAACTGCTTGAAGTCTGGATCTGGATGGTGCCTTCCGACCCACCTTGGTTGCTGCCGCACATAGATCTTCAAGCTCCGCCATGCCATGCTTGTAACCTATCCTGGGCAGCCGAATCTAGCTCTCTTGGACAAGACCCCACTCATGATGTCATGTGGGTGTCAGGAATTCTAGACTAATCGCAAAGTCATTCTTGAGTAAAGTGCCCTGCGGCTGGGGAGTAGGCACGCCGCATACTGCTTTAGTCGCATGGCAAGAGATGCGAGCCCACAAACTCCCACCAAAGATGGGCATGTATCAGAACATAATCGGCAATGGGGATGCCGGAGGATCCGACATAGTGCGGAAGAAGCCGCTGGTGCGAAACGAAAGTAGCCCGCCCCATGCTCTTGTCGAACTGGGTCAGGAGTCCATCGGCTTTCAGCTCCTCATGTGGCCTCATCTTCGTCATCTCCAGCACGGTCTCAGCGGCCACCGTGTACATCGGGAACACCATCGGTGCCTGCAGGCTACGATATTGGAAGAACAACGATGCAGATGCATCAGATGTGGCAGATCAGGCAGACCAAGCGGACGCCAGGTGATGCAGCAGCAGCAGAGGCAAGAGGCGGAGGAGCTTACAGCTGCGGCAGCGGCAGCTGTGCATATGCAGCAGAGGGGGGAACACACGAAGCTTTGGGATATAGAACTGTCTTGGAGTCCCGTAATTGCTTTATTTACAGCTGCGGTCTCCTGGCAATGCAGCAGGTCCCGTGTCCTGTAGTTCTTCTTCTTCTACTGCTACTGCTA